GGCTTGTCTAGGTTCATTTATTTTATCAAGCAGTGGCCACCTGTGTGTGTGTGTGTGTGTGTGTGTGTGTGTGTGTGTGTGTGTGTGTGTGTGTGTGTGATCGTTGCTTTGCATCCACGCACAGCTTAAAGAGAGCGGTTCTGCTAACCCCACACTCCTCAGAAGGAACCTTGTACGCCAAGACTGGCAGCTGGAAGAGCCATGGGGTAGACCCCCCCATTCACAGCTCAGAGGACTTGCCCCTGTGTCCTCAGGGCTCCACAGATCCCGGGAAGCAAGAGCATTGCGCTCTTTGTAGCTACAGTTCAGTTCATGGAACCAATGTGGAAACAGGGAACACACAACCAACACTTGTGTGTGGTGTGCATACCCATTTACTCACACACAATAACGACAATAATAAAATCTGGGGGAAAAGTGAGTTTTGGGGCGCTGAAGATGTATCATTCAGTTGATAAGAGTGCTTGCCTGGCATACACAAAGCCCTAGGTTGGATCCCCAGCGCAGGTAATCCCTTGGTGACATACCTGTCATCCCAGTTCTTTGGAAGTAGAAGCAGGGGGATCAGAAGTTCAAAGCCATCCTTGGCTACATAGTGGATTACTCGCCGTCATGGGACCATGTCTCAAAAAACATAAAGATACTAAAAATTTCAAGGGATTAAGGGAAGGTGTCCTGGCTGGCTTTCTATCACTGTGATAAAACACTGACCAAACACCCGGGAGAGGAAAGCGCTTATTTCCACATTATGGTCTGTCATTGAGGGACATCAAGGCAGGAACTGAAGCAGACACCATAAAGGACCGATGCTTACTGACCTGCTCTCCATGGCTCCATCAACTTGCTTTGTTAAACAACAAAGCCCAAGGCTGGCACCACCCACAATGATCTGTGTCTTCCCACATGAATCAACAACTAAGAAAATGTCCCACAGATATTCCCAAGGCAAATCTGATACAACACTACAAGCAAGGCCGTTTATAGAAGGAAGAGTTTAAGCGGGCATGCATGGTGGCTACAACAGGAAGCCAAGAGCTCACATCTTGAACCACAAGCACAAAGTCAAGAGCGGTTAGGGGGAGCCCACATGAGATTTTATTTTTTATCTCTCCCCTGTCCTCAGTGATGTACTTTCTCCAGCAAGGCCATACCTCTTTAAGCTCCACAAACAGAACCATACTACATATAGGGTACCAAGTATTCAAATACCTGAGACTATGGAGGACATCCTTCTCAGAGGAAGAGGGGACAGGACAGAAAGCTCTAGGCTCCTAATCAGAGCTGGTCTTTTTGGTGACTTCCCCACATTTAGGAGCCACTAAGAGTTGCCTCATTAAGACAGAAGATGCTCCTGCAAATGTCAAGGGGCCAGGAGCTCTGTGTCAGGAACCAGGGCCCGAGAACAAGGACCAGAATAATGTGCTGGCTGGTTTTAAATTAATATGACACAAGGTAAAGTCATTCCAGAGGAGGGAGCCTCAGTTAAGAAAATGCTTCTGTACGATGGGGCTGTAGGCAAGTGTTGGTGGCGCACGCCTTTAATTCCAACACTTGGGAGGCAGAGGCAGCTCTATCTGTGAGTTTGAGGCCAACCTGGTCTACAGAGTGAGTTCGAAAAAAAAAATGGTCTACAGAGTGAGTTCAAAATAAATAAATAAATAAATAAATAAATAAATAAATAAAAGCAGGCTGAGCAAGCCATAGGGAGCAAGCCAATAAGCAGAAGAACCCCTCCATGAACTCTGCCTCAGCTCCTGCCTCCAGGTTCCTGCCCTGCTTGAGTTTCTGTCCTGACTTCCTTGATGCTAAACAGTGATATGGAAGTGCAAGCCGAATAAAACTTTTCTCTCCAACTTGTTTTGGTCATGGTATTTCATTATAGCAATCTTAACCCTAAGACAACAAGAAATGCTTCCCAGGGCCTGTTACCAAGGAAATTATATGGGTGTTAGGAACCAGAATGAAGCCAAAATGTACATTTTGGGTTATTGTTGATGAGAAACATAGCCATCATTCTAAAAGGAATAAGAGATCGTAGCCAAGGGACACAGATTCAGACCATAATGAATGACATAGCCCACTATGAAAGAGGTTACATGAACAGAGGACAGTCATAAGTCAGTAGTCTGCCATGTTCAACAATGCATCCCCAGAGCTTCCCCAACAGCCACAACGATATATTCCGGCCATATATGAAAATGCTTATCAAATAAATAAATGTATTATAGGGGTAAGGAAGACAAGGTCAGGGTAGTTCTCAATAGTGCCCATCACCTACTTAAAATGAAATCCTTAGGTGGGCACTGGTCCAGGCTGGCCTGTGTCCTTACAAAAGAGGAGCTTGGATACTGAACACACAGGAAACATGCAAGCAAAGGTGAGGACAGGGTGAAGCACCTGGGGATCTTCACCTCCCACTGTCAAAACATTGAGGGAAGCTTTGGTGCAGGGAGCAGAGCTTCCCACAGAGCCTTGGGGGTGGGGGTGGGGTGAGTCTGACCCCTGAGGCTCTTCTGGCCCCCTCAGGTAGTAAATCGCTTGGTAGTTATGGTGTCCCTAGGAAACTTGTATACCTGTATAAAGAGACTTGGAATTAAATAAACACTTTAGGGGCTGGAGAGATGGCTCAGAGGTTAAGTGCACCGGCTGCTCTTCCAGAGGTCCTGAGTTCAGTTCCCAGCAACCACATGGTGGCTCACGGCCATCCGTAATGAGATCTGGTGCCCTCTTCTGGTGTGGAGATATACATGGAAGCAGAATGTTGTATACATAATAAAATCTTTTTTTTTTTCCTTGCTGCAAACTGCACGAGGCTTTATTATAGTTGTTTAACGAGCTAGCCCCATGTTAGCTGGGGCCTTCCATCCATCCACCATGGCAGATCGCTAGGAAAGACCTAAATAAATAAAATCTTAAGAAAAAAAAAAACACTTTAGTAATTTTTAAAGTGGCTAGAGCTGGGCATTGGTGGCGCATGCCTTTAATCCCAGCACGCAGGAGACAGAGGCAGGCGGATCTCTGTGAGTTTGATGCCAGCCTGGGCTACAGAGCAAGTTCCAGAACAGCCTCCAAAACAATACAGAGAAACCCTGCCTCGAAAAACCAAAATAAATAAAAATTTTAAAAAGTGGCTAGAGAGAGAAAGCTACATGTGACAGAGTTCAAGTGGAGGGTTTTTTATTAGAGGAAAGGGATCACAAAAAGGGGGGAAGGGGGGGAAGGAGACCTCCTGACAAACTCAGCTGCTTCAATGGGCTGGATGGAAGACAACTGGAAGCTTCAGCCCATGCCAGGATGAGGTGAAGCCCCTTCATCTCTTCCTAGGACACTAGCCACGGTCACTGCACAGGACCCTGTTAAAGAGGGCTTTCACTTTCTGCGATGGTT